AGGTAAAGATGTTGCCACGGTCTGAAGAGATCACCTGAGGAATACCGTGCAGCAAGACAATCCGAGAGGTATAGAGCTCCGCCAATTGAGATGCAGTGATAGACTCTTTGATAGGTAGAAAGTGAGCCACTTTAGTGAGTTTGTCGATGACAACGAATATAGCATCATTGCCACGCTTGGACTTTGGAAACCCAGTCACGAAGTCCATCTCAATGTGGTCAAACTTCCATTCTGGAATGGCAAGAGGTTGGAGGAGACCAGCTGGCCTTTGGTGTTCTGCCTTCACTCTTCTGCAGACATCACACTCATTTACGAACTGAGCAATCTTGCGCTTCATTCGAGTCCACCAATAAGCCTGCTTGAGGTCCTGATACATCTTCGTGCTCCCAGGGTGGATGGAGAGGAGTGAATTGTGAGCCTCGGCGGCGCCGGTGGGGGAGAGGGAGGCAGTGACAAGTGGCGGCGTCTGGATGGTTGGAGGCGGCGATGGTGCTGATGTGGCACGCTCCCATTGGAGGGAGCGATGTGGCCGGCAGCGGTGGACGCGTCTGCCGACGAGACGGACATGTCCGGCGGCGCTGAGGGAGGAGTTTTAGGGTTTCGGGGAAAAGATCTGAAAACGAAAATGATGGGGTCTATTTATAGAGGTAGAGGGAGCTAGGAAGCTCCAAATGAGGTGCGATTTTCGGCCACGCGATCATGATCGAACGACCGAGATGATGGAGGAGGTTTAGGTGGGTTTTGGGCCAAATTGGAGGGGTGTTGGGCTGCAACACACACGAGGCCTTTTCGGTCCCTCGGTTAACCGTTGGAGCATCAAACGAAGTCCAAATGGTACGAAACTTGACATGCGGTCTACCGGTAGTAAACCAAGGCCGCTTGGCAAGTATCGGTCCAATCCGGAAATTTAACCCCCACACACGAAAGGAAGGTAGAAAGGACCACCGGAGGAGATAGAAGCGCCGGAATGCAAAACGGACAACGGGGAAAATGCTCGGATGCATGAGACGAACACGTATGCAAATGAAATGCACATGATGACATGATATGCAATGCATGACATGCAAGCAATGGCAAAGCAACAACAGTGAATAACTGGAGGACACCTGGCACATGGGTCTCGGGGCGTTACACGCTGGCCTGATACGACCCCTTTGTTGTCCGCCAAGACCGCCTTGTGCTGCCTTGTTTTGGTTCGCCAAGTACCGAAGCAAAACATCTTCAAGGTTGACTACGTTTGATGTCTCGACCAAAACCATCAAGTACTCGAGACCACAATGCCGCCAAGTGCCAAGACGAACATTAGCGGCTACCCTTGAATTATACGACTACACGACACCGGCCAAGTTCGACAACGCTCGCCGCCCGCACAACTACCGCCGACACGCACCTCTCCATCGCCGTGGGTTTTCTTTCGTGAAGTACATTGACAGCCCGAACATCTACGGATTGTGCACAACTACGAAACATGAACAATACATCATACACAAGATCAACATCTCGCTACGGATGAAACACAAACAAAAGCTCAAACGACATCCACCCTGCTAGCCCAGGCTACCAACTAGGAACCTATCCCTCGAACAAAGAAGAAGCGGAACAAGAACTCCAAAACCATAAACATCGCTCTCGCGTCTTGAACATCGCATTACCTATACCTGCAACTGGTGGTGTAGTAAATTGTGAGCCACTTTACGTCTACGAAAGGCAACAATGGAGCGTAGGGCTTGTTAGTTGTGTGATATATATTGTGCCTCCCTGTATCCCCAACACCAGATTACATAACCAGAAAGTTTCAGGAGTTTATAGGTGGAAATTCAAGTATCACGTAGGAATTCTTTCCAACAGACACATGATACGATATGGGGTCTATCATATGTTTGTTCTGGCTTATTCCGCAAGTCAAATCCTTTGATTTGTTTTGAGTTATGGTATTCAAGTTGCTTCGAAGTCAAGTGTTGATTCCATACCTGTCCTAAGCGGTGTTCCCATATTTCTATGGGAATACTAATCCTTTTGATCATGCAGAATGGTCATGCCAATTCTTTTCCAATCGGCGTGATTCTCTTCAAGTTAAGCTGACCCCTTCCACATTTGCAGTATCGATTATCAGTTTTCTAAACGGTGTTCATTCCATCCATCCAAGTTGCCTTTGTTATCCCGCCCTCCCACCCTTTTTCTTCAAGGAATCAGAGATATCAAATCAACTATCCATTTTATTCATGTAAAGTCTCTTCATTCTTTTCTTTCAATGTTCTTATCCAGTGATTCTCAGGAAGATGCTCAGGAGCTTCAAGTTTAGCATTCTTCATTCCCTTTTCTTCTCCCGTGAAGTCAATTCAAGCTTTCGGTGTCAATCATACCCCTTTCCCTAATTCAAATGCTTTACCATGCCGGTGCACCTCTGAGTCGTTCACTTCTCGCTATTCATTTGTTCCGGTGTGTAGAAGATATCTCTCAAGGTTCGTGTTTCCATTCTTAATCCGTTCATGCTATTTCAAGGTTGTTATCTCATTCAAGCCACTTAATTCAACCGGTGCAGTATCTCTTTTAAAAATCATTCGACGGTGTTTCTTTTGAGTGGTCCCTAACCCACAGGTCTCTTCCCAGGATCTTACATGACTCTTCTAATTTTTTTCCAGAGTTATTCTCAAATTCTTTTCAAAGTATGACGTAAGAATGAATTTCATCAGTCAGATGCTTTTCCAAGATTGATTTCAAATTATTTCATTGTTGGCTCAACCTCTTTTCTTGTCATTCTCCCAGAGTATCTCAACAATTCAGGGTGGTGTTTCTCATCGTCATTCTCAAATTTTGAAGACCGAAGAAGAGTTTTCCCTAAATTTTGGTCTGTTCTCTTGAAGATTCGTGGTTCTAGCTTCATGCCATCCTCTCAAATCATTTCCAATCATGAGAATTCTTTTCATACCCATCTGAAGCATTTCATGAGTTCTTTCCATTTTATTCCTATGAAGGCCATCATTTCGGATTTATTCATTCTCAACGTTCAGCTCTCATTCCCCAATTTTTCTGGTGCATCGTTCAAGTATTCTCTAGTCAGCTCGTGATCTATTCGTTCTCATGTATCTAAATTGTGTCAAGTATCTTTATTCATTTTCCAATTCTTCCCGGTGAATTGGGACTTTGCTACTTTTATTTTCAATTCTTATGGTGGTTCGTTCAAGAATTCTCTTCCTTCGTTATCATATCAATTCATTCATTGTTCCAAATCCCACAGGTGGCTCCATCAAGACCTTACCAAGTTTGCGTGATATCTCTCCTTAATCCTTTGCAAAGAGAATAAGTAGTACGCCAAATCCGTTGCTTGTCATCAATTTAAATTGATGAAGGATAGCATAACATAATTCGTATTCTTCTTTCATCCAAGTGATTCATATTTCTTTCCGGAGTTTCTCAACATATCACACTCTCGGTTTGAGATGCTTCATCAGTTATTTTTTGGAGTTCCAAGCACTCTCAATTATTTAGTCGCGAAGCTCCATCTAAATCAGTGCAAGGCTTCACCTTGTATTTTTCAACTTCTCTTCCTTTCTATCATCCTTTTTAGTACCGGAGTTCTTACTGGAGGCTCTACATGGTGGTTCGTCAAGGATTCCTTTCATTCTTCAATTGCTCTTCAAGATTTCCTTGAAGTTATGATCCGCCAAGATATACTCAAAATTAAATGTGGTGCTCAACACATGTTTTGTTTTGAGGTGCTCCACTATTCTTCTTCTTGCATTTTGAAGTGCAATTCTTTCTACCTTATCTTTTGAGATGGTGATATGTCATTCTTGACTATTTCCTTTCGTGTTTCATGATTCACAAGAATGAGATATTTAAACCCATCATTTTTTTCTGCAAGCACGAGCTCTTCTCAACCCATAATTTCTTCCTTGGAGTTATCTTGGCGTGGTTTTCACTTAAATCCTGTCCTAAGGGTTGTTGCTATTTGTGGTGCTCATCAATGATCCAAGTTTCTCCTTCTCTTCTAGGTGAAGGAGTTTTCATCTCCATGTTTCTCTTAAGCAATCAATTGTTTTCCGTAGTGGCTTGTATTCACCTCTAAGTTTTGAGTTATTTCCATAACCCCACAACAAGCTTATTCTTATTGTTGTTGATCTTCCAACAACTCCGTTCAATCCTTGTTTTTAAGGATGCTCTCCTAAATTCATTTCAGGTAGAACTTGTTGTTTTCTTCTCCGTTCTTTTGATTCCATTCTTACATTTGTTCCGGAGGAATTGTGATGTTACTCTCTTCGACCCATCATCTCATTCTGTAAATATCATGTTCTTTTCCTTGCTTATCTGTTCAGCAAGAGTGTTGTGTCCTATGCTCAAGTTTTGTTTCATCTTATCAAGTTTTGCATCTCTTTTCAACCGGAGTGTTGTTCGAATTTGTTCTTCCTTGTTCCTTGTTTATCTCGTTTCAACCAGAGTGGTTTCAATTCCTTCTTGTCCATTGTGCTCGTCATTCATAGCTTTGCAACCTCCAAGGTTCACATGGTGTTCCTTGTTTCTCTTTTCTACCGAAGTGCTCCCCATTGTGTTTAACTCTGTCATGTTCTTCTTTCAAGTTTTCAACCTCGCAAGGTTCATTGGTTTCACTCATTTGTTAAGAAGCAACTTTTTCTTACCTCTTCCTCTTACGTTTCTCCCCGGTGCCATCCTTAGATCTTCGGTCGAGATCTCTTGTAAGTGGAGGAGAGCTGTGACGCCCCAAGACCGGCGCTTCATAGGCCTTCCATGTATACCGAGATTCGTCGTGTGATTTGTTTGGTTCATTGCATTCATCTTTGCATCATGTCATCATGCAAACCCTTTTTTTAAACTCAACTAAGTAAATTGCATGGATCCTTGATCCATTTAAATCGAGGGAATTCACACGGTGACTTCTCTTTATAACATATCCTCCCAATATTAGGACGCTATTATAAAATATTACATTTTTAGGAATAACCATAATACACTTGCAGTTTAAGTTCCATGCCTTTTCCTTCTCAATTCCTGGCCTCCAACCTTGCTATAAATTCTTTTGTCACCTTCCCAAGCTCCGCCAAATGTTCATCATTTTGGACATTTCTAACTCCTACGTCCACTTCTAACTCATTTGGTCTAAATTCTATAATATTGAATTTAGACATTTTCTTAAATTGTTGGAACTGTCTTAGTTGGCTTGGTTTTGCTCTAGTAAGTTCCACAAAAATGTTACATATTTTTGCCACGCCCTTTTGCTATTTCTTTTCTGCCATTTTCTTATTATTCTTTTCTGTTGGGAGGAAGAGAGAAGCAGCCCAGCAGTTGCATGCCACTAGGCCAGGCCTCTATTCATCTCCCTCTCCACTGGGCTGACCTCTAAGGCCCATCCGCAGCCCAGCCGGTGCCCCGTAACCCTAGGCCCGACCCCTCCTCTCGATCTCTCCCTCTCCCTCGTCTCCACCTCGTGCCGCCAGAACCCAGTGCCCGATCTCGATCCCCATCACCTCCTCCTCCCTCTCGACCCTCCGCAGCCTCCCTCACACCTCGACCCCCTCCGATGCACCGCCTCCTTCCCCAACACTGAGCACGTACAGCGCCCGATCCCGCGCGTAGGCCTCCAGCTCCATCGCTGCTCTGCCCCGGCTGCGCCGTAGCGTCATCCTCCGACGCCGCCGAGCACAGTCTGCCCCCGTCGCCCCGTACCTCCTCTGCCTCCAGCCACGGCCGGATCCTTCGGTTGCCTCTACTTCCCTCGATGCCCGCGCCACCGCTTCTCTGCCTCGCCATGGGTGCTCGCACCGCCGTCCACCTCCTAACGCCTCCTCACGCGCGAGCATAGCCACGCCCGAGGACGGGCCTCCCCTTCCCGAGCCTTCTGTGCGCCTCCACCTCCTTGCCGGAGCAGTAGCAGCAGCCGGCAACCACCAACGACGGCGACCACCCAGGAGCCCCGACGCCGATGCCATGACCGCACCGTTGTTGCCGAGATCCCTTCCCCTGGACTTATCCGTTTTTGGCATGCGCTCGCACCACTATCAGCCGCATCGCCGGAGGTCCTCGTCGCCTCCCCATGCTGTCCCTGCAAGACCTGCCACCGTTTTGGCCTACTTCACCTTGGCCTCGACCGAGGACGAGCAGTGCTGCTGCCTGCTTGATTCGCATGCACGCACGCCTTCAATGTTGACCGTTTCTCCATGCATGGCCAGCCGGCCATGCCAGGCCCAACCGCTGGCCTAACACGACCCCTTTGTTGTCCGCCAAGACCGCCTTGTGCTGCCTTGTTTTTGTTCGCCAAGTACCGCACCGAAACATCTTCAAGGTCGACTACGTTTGCTGTCCCGACCGGAACCGTTAAGTACTCGAGACCACAATGGTGCCAAGTACCAAGACGAACGCTAGCGGCTACCCTTGAACTGTACGACTACACGACACCTGCCAAGTTCGACGACGCTCGCCACCAGAACAACTACCGCCAATAGGTACCTCTCCATCATCGTGGTTTTTTTTCCGCGAAGTACATTGACGGCCCGAACATCTACGGATTCTGCACAACTACGAAACATGAACCACTACTTCCACTACCGTCGCGAGAACGTCTATCTCCACTGTGAACTCGACCCGTTCCAAAAATGCACGCTTCGAAGGTATAACCGCCGAGACGGCCTTCCGTGAACGAAAGCATATGTTGTATGAGATGCATGTTTAGATGTTGTATCCGTCTGTGAACACTAGTTGTTCCCTTGTTTGGCACCACCGTCGACCCGTGGGAACCCGATATCCGAAATCACCCATCATGTTTTGCATGTTCCGTTTATCCACACTTTTGTTTGCACCGACATCTTGATGAGTCGTCGGAACATCGGAATGTTGTCGTGGCACCATTTCCGTTGTCGTTGTCGTGGCACCCCTTTCGTTCCGCCATGGTGACCAAATGCTTCATAACATGCTCATGTCAACATTTTCATAAAAATTGCATCCAACCATGTATATGTCATCCGCATCATGATAATAACATTTAAAATGTTTAAAATTGTTGTTTGCATTAAATTGCTATTGTGCATGAGGTTTTACCGGAATTGTTGTTTGTTGCATATACTTCACTTGTTGCCATGTTTAACAACATTTAATATTGTTGGGTACATAAATGGGAGAGAACTAAATAAATGAATGTGGTGTTTCGTCGATATGCAACGAGCTCTACTTACTTTGTAGTTTTGTTTGTTGCACTTTGCCATGCCACGCCTCTTTAAATCGGACATGCATCATACTTGATTGTGCATCATGCCATGTTTATGTGATGGTTGTTTACCATGATGTTTCCTTCTTTTCGGTTGCACTTCTCCTTGGTAGTTCCAGTTACGTTGCGATTGTGAGGATCTGTTCGACTATGTTGGTTCATCTACTTCATGGACTCGGTCTTCTTCCTAGCGGGATTTCAAGCAAGATGACTGTCACCTTGGATGTCACTACTATCTTTACTATGCTAGTTGTCTCTATGCTATCGCTATGTCGCGCTACCTACCACTTGTTTATCAAGCCTCCCAAATTGCCATGACAGCCTCTGACCTTTTCACCCTTCCTAGCAAAACCGTTGTTTGCTATGTTACCGCTTTGCTCAGCCCCTCTTATAGCATTGCTAGTTGCTGGTGCAGTTGCAGGTTTTTCCATGTTGGGACACGGATTTCATGGATATCTTGGGATATCACAATATCTCTTTTTTAATTAATGCATCTATACACTTGGTAAAGGGTGGAAGGCTCGGCTTTATGCCTGGTGTTTTATTCCACTCTTGCCGCCCTAGTTTCCGTCATACCGGTGTTATGTTCCTTGATTTTGTGTCCCTAACACGGTGAGGGGTATTGGGCCTCCTGATAGTTCACTTTGAATAAAACTCTTCCAGCAAGACCCAACATTTGTTTTAACATTTGCCATAATAATACTTGAACCTAAAAACACTACAAAAAAAGACACATCTGTGACATTTTGGGCCGAACGAAAAAAAATTCTATCATACTTATGACACTTCTATGATGATAATTGTGACAAAACACGGTATCATCATTGATGTGGTGGGGTCCTACTTCTATGACAAAAAATCATGACAGAAAATGGGCTTTTCGTCCTGGGCGGGCCGGAGATGCAGCTGGATGACATTCTTTCGGCCATCCATGACGGAAGAAACCATGGTAGAAGTGAGGGCGAGGAAAATATCGGGGAGTTCCCGGTTACAGTGCGTGGTCAGGGGCCGATCGATGCGTGTTTCTCTCGTACGTATGCGCGTGTGTGCGAGGCATTTGGCTCTAACTGGACCCGAGCGAGGCGTTGGGCTCTAACTGAACCCGAGCGATTGCACTGCAGGCTTCGCGTTACTGAACCCGAGCGATCAATCGATCCCTTGTTGTTAACTGAACCCGAGTGATTCCTTCGCTACTGCTGCTAACTGAAGCCGATCGATGCTACCTCTGGTTGAAC